ATATATATGTATATATATATTTTTTTTTCTCCAAGAAGTTAGATAAGTTATAAAAAATCCATCCATCCATTATCTTTTACCTGCTTCTTCCTTTTTGGGTCACCGGTGTCCATGTGCGAGAGGTGGGGTTCACCCTGGACAGGTCTACAGGCCATCACAGGACCACATCGAGGCAAACGAGACAAACAACCACTCTCACTCACACCTAGGGACAATTTAGAGTTACCACTCAGCCTAACATGCATGTTTTTGGTCTGTGGGAGGAAACTAGAATACCCGGAGAAAATCTACGCATGCACGAAGAGAACATGCAAACTCCACCCAGAATGGCGCCCCGGCTGGGATTCTAACCAGCGACCTTCTTGCTAAGAAGCGGCAACTCAGCCAACTGTGCCACCGTGCCACCGTGCCACCCCAAATTATAAAAATTGTGTTGACTTAACATTGATGTTGACTAATTATTATAATTAACCTGCAAACTAAACATAATGATTTACTTAAAAACATATTTTTATCCGCCCATAGAAAGACAGACCTTTTACGATATATTCGCCGTACATTTGTCAACTTTCTCTTGTCCCACCCAAAACTTCTGATCTGCTCAAGATAATTTAGGGAAACATCATAAACTTATGCATCTCATCACTAAGCAGAGTGTCACATACACTTTTCATCACCTCAGTTCCAAGGTCAAGGCCACAAGCCAAGGTGAAAGGTTATACAAGGTTTTTGCATGTCTGAGCCATTTATATACAGTAGATTGTAGTATTGCTGTATAATAGTTTGTCAACAGGCATCGGGGTATAATGTGATGTATGTGGTGCTCTTGTTTAAATTGAACATTTATAGATAATGACTTAACTGAACGGTTTTGGGGCAATAATGTTCCAGTGTTAGTTGGGCATTTGAAGAGGTTTCCCCTATAATAAAAGCAAAAGGTTGGCTGCTTCTGCCTCACTCTGTTCTTCATGTTTCACTCTGTGTCCTCCTGTCCTCAGGCGTACTCTCAGGATGCCTACTTGAAAGGCAATGAGCCATACACAGGTGAGGCACAGAACCTGCCAGAGCCCCCACCTCTCTGTTACACCACCACCAAGCCTGGCTCCAGCCCCCACAGTCTCCTGGACAACTGCAGAACCAGCGTCACCTCACCACTGGACAATCGCCCCCTTGCTGCCTCCACGCCCTTGTCTGGCCCATCCAGAGCTTCTGAGGAGTCTAGCAGTCATCGGAGCTCATCCAAGCAGCACCGAGGCCGGTCCTCATCAACCATCAGTGCGCTTGAGTTTCATTTTGCAAACCACAATGCTGCCATTGCTTCTGCAACTCTGCCTCTACCTCGGAAGAGCAGCTTGCCAACTTCTGCACGCACCCACACTGACGTCCTCTGCCACCAGGCTCTCTCACACTGGTACTACAACCAAGCAGAGGCCACAGAACGCATGTCCCCCCACCATTACAGTACATCTCAGGAACACTTAGCTGAGCTGGGCCTGGGGTTGACATTTAGTCCCAGACACACAGCTACTTCTATAATCTCCACAAAGCAACACCAAAAAGAAAACCTCCAGCAGCACCACCAGGCTGCAGCTGTATCCCATGATCCCTATTGGCTGGGGGATTGGGGGCATGGATCAGGCCCCGGGAACAGGTTGTTCTCACAGAGCCTGCTGGCTGCTTATTCTGAATATGAGCACAATTATGGGAGGTCTGTGAAAACACTGGCAGAAGCTTCTGCTATGGTTTCACAACACTATGATCGCACTCCGCAAAGTTCCCAAATGACCAAATTCAGCGAGCAGAAAGTCCCAGAAGAACATCAACACCAAGCTGTAGGGACAGCTTTGTGCTCAACACCACCCAGTGGAAGGCAGTCTGGTCAGCAGGTGGCTGAACCCCAAACAAGGAGACTAAAAGATGAGGAGCTGGTGGGCTATAAAAGCTACAGCCCCTCTTTCTCCCGCAAAGCAGGGCACCTCCTCCAGCTGACTCAGTCCTTCAGAGAACCCAGTTACACTGGGCCTCACCTTAACTGGCATCCTGGCACTAGAACAGACAGTGATGGAGAGATAACATCCATTCTCCACTCCCCCCCAGCCCAACCTGATTCAGAGGAGGAGAAGGTTCAGCTCAGTGAGGACAGAATTGTGGTCTCTCCCATCTCCTTAACTCAAAAAGTGGTCCTCAGGCAAAAGCTGCCTGCTGACAGACGGAAACTGGTTCAGACAATGCAACATCCAAACTACGCCATATCTGCCAATTCACCAGAGCTGCCCGATTGGAGCCCTTCATCTGGAACAGACTCACCTCTTCCTGTAGTGACGGATCCAAGCCGTAGGGCCAATGGTGGCCTGGCACAGCATGCGTTGGACTCCCTGTCATCAATTCCTTTTATAGGTAGGTGAGCTTTTCTCTGTAGTAGCTGAATCAAAGCTTTCCAAAGTTCAAACTTACCCTGAAGTCTCCTGGGTGGGACAGAGTCTGTAGGTGATATCAGAGTTACATTTGATCCACGATGTGTGCGCACACACACACACACACACACACACACACACACGTGTTTGTTCATCCATGCCGTGCGCATGCCCACAAAACATTGTTTCCCAATTGACATGTCATGCATTTTATTTCCCAATGTTCAAAGTTGTGATGTATCTCTAACTATTAATGTCATTGTTCTTCGTGTTCTGTCCAACACCAACAGATAGATATTTAATTTAGAGAAGCTGTAGAAACATAGATAATGGAGGCAGAAATACTTTATTATATTTTAATCACTTTAATCCCAATAAAGGAATAGAAGAGTATGAAAGAGAACACTGTCCAAATTCTGTAGAATTAATGAGGTAATTAGAAGGGGTGCACCCATTGCAGTTTTCTGGCCGATCGATCACTGATTTCTAAAATGTCTGACCTGCCTATTCCGATTTTGGCAGATACCGATTTTGTTTTAAAAGCGACACTGTCAGGTGTTATAAGGTCACAATGCACCTTCAATTTTCCAATATTATTTTATTGAAAAACATACCCTTGAACAATATCCTAGAAACAATATAAACTTGTTTAACTGGCCATGAGGTAGTGCTCTGAAATATAAATGAAGTTCAGACAATTGTTGTTAAAACTAACAAAATCTGTAAAATCGGCTTCTCGTGCAAGTATCGTCTGATTTCTCAAAATTAAGGAAATTGGGGCAGATAAATCGGCCAACCGATTTATTGGTGCACCCCTAGTAATTAGATTAAGAGGGAAACTTAAATTCATAGTCAGTGTCTTTCCTACACCAGGCAGCAATCTGAACACTGTTTAATGAATCAATGCTATTTAAGCTAAGCTGTTGATCAGACTAGGGTCAAGTTCTAGGACAGTGAACAAAGTTTGTTTGTGAAAAAAAAATACATATATATCTTAGGTGAACACATGAATGTAGCACCTTTCTTAAATTTGAAAATTAAACAAGAAAATGAAAAGTTCCCAATTCTGTTATGTTAGTGTGATATCTCACTGGGCTGCAACTAGGAGACTAGTTGGAAAATAAGTCAAGACCAGTTGGAGACTAGTTGGAGATTAGTTGAAGACTTGTTGGAAACTCAATGGAGATTAGGTGGAGACGAGTTGGAGAGTAGGTGGAAACTAGGTGTAAATCAGTTGAAGACTAGTTGGAAACTAGGTGGAGAGTAGGTGGAGAGTAAGGGGAAATTAGGTGGAGATTAGTTGGAGACTAGGCAGACACTAGTTGGAGACTAGGGGGAGATTAATTGTTGCCTAAATTGAGATTAGTTGGAAATTAGTTGGAGACCAGTTGAAGATTATTAGGAGACTACATAGAGAATAGTTGGAGACTAGGTGGAAACTAGGTGGAAATTAAGACTAGGGGGAGACTATATAGTGACTTGTTGGAGACTCTGTGGAGAATAGTTGGA